CAATTGAACAGATGCTTTAAGAACTTTTCTAAGATGCTACCATCCCCCCAAATCAGGACAATTTCATCCTGAAAAGGTGCATTCTGCAGTACCTAGATTTGCCAGTGATTAACAAAACAATAGTCCAAGGGCAAAAATCTGAAGCAACCCCAACTGTCCTCTCAACATCCTTTTCTTATCTTATGGCACTTTTGTTCAATGAGAAAAATCACCTTGATATGTATATAGTAGGAGGGGAACCCCAAAGTGCTTTTTCTTAATTAGTTTAACTTTTTATATGTTAATAATAAGATATAAACATGGAATTACAAAATAAAACAATTTAAACCTATGACTATCACAGAATGCAAGGCATTCTTCAAAACATTTTAATTCTAGAGCAGAATAAGATTTTGAAACTAGGAGCAGACGGCCAAGTGCGGAAAGAGAAAAGTCCTGTTTCAACATATTCATGTTCATATGCTTTCCATTTCCATGTTTAGCATCAAATTTCAAAAGGAAAAAAAAACACGAAGAGCCATTTTTTCAGCAGGTGTGAAGCATACTCTCTATTTGCATTCCATATTTCAGTCCGCTATAAGAACATAATTCAGCCAGATCATGGAAGACCTTAGTATGACAGTTTTTTTCTCACAGAGGCCAACTAGCTACAGGTAAAAGATGGAGATATATTTTTTCCTACCATTGTTCCCCCGCAATTGGTGTTTGGAAGCATACTATTCCTAACTCAAAGGTAATATTAGCATTTTCCCCTTAGTAACTTCTAACATCTCCCATTACGTTGGGGTGATGTAAAGCCTGTCCTATTATTTTGGCAGAACAATGGTTGTATAGCTCTAGAATGTATTCTGTCTACAAGGGGAATCTTGACCTAGAGTTTTTAAGACTATTAGCTGTTGATAGATGGGTTCTCCAAGAATTTATCTAATCTTCCTTTAGAACCATCCAAGTTAGTGATCATTACCATATTCTAATTCCACAGGTTAATTTTACACTGTATTGCGTTTGCCTTCGTCTCCTCCATAAAACTTTCCAATCAACTTCATTGGATGACCCCCATACTGGCAGGAGTAATGAAAGCTTTTCCCAGGCTATCTACAAGCCATGCATGATTTTATAGAATAATATCTCATTGTTTTAAGATCTCTCAGGTCTCATTATTTTGGTGACCATCTTCTGCCTTTAAAAAACAATCTTACCCACTATAAGCCACCCAGAATTGTTGAGAGCTGGGTGGAATATATGTTTAATACATTGTCGTTGTTGTTATCCCAAGATCTTTTTCCTAGTTAGTTACAGACCACTCAGATCCCATCAGTTTATAGGTTAAAGTATGATTTCTGCCCAAAAATGCTTCACTTTGCACTTACCTAAACTGAATCTCCTTTCCTTTTTGGTTGATTTTCACCCAATTGGAAGATACCCTTCTGTCTTTGACTGATTTTAGTTTTCAGCACCTTGAACATTTTAGTGTTGTTTACAAACTTTTCAGTTTGTTGCTTATCTCTAAATTACATTGATTTATGAATAAACTAAAAGTCACTAACCCATATCTTTTCATTTCTTACTTCCCCCAATGAAAAGAATGGCTTATTTATTCCTGCTCATCTTCTGTTTTTAACCAATTTGGTTGTTGTTGTTCAGTCGTTAAGTCATCTCCGACTCTTCGTGACCCCATGAACCATATCGCT